TGTCATGGGGGGGGGGCAACCTGATGGATTGCCCCCCTGGCGAACGGCTCTCTCCCGTCACACGCGGAGAGGGAGCTGTGTGCTCTCTGCTCCCTCTCGCCGCGCGGGATGTCTGCTGATGCTGGGAGCCGGGTTGATGACGTCATATTCCGGCTCCCAGCATCAGCAGACATCCCGCGCGGCAAGAGGGAGCAGAGAGCACACAGCTCCCTCTCCGCGTGTGACAGGGAGAGAGCCGTCCTCACTGCAGCCCCACTGGACCCCAGGGAAAGGTAGGGATGCTGGGTGGGTGGGAAATGTTAATTTTTTTATATTATTATTAATTTGTATATATGTATGTCTGTGTGTGGATGTGGATGTCTGTTTGTGGATGTGTGGATGTCTGTGTATGTGTGGATGTCTGTTTGTGGATGTGTGGATGTCTGTTTGTGGATGTGTGGATGTCTGTTTGTGGATGTCTATTTGTGGATGTGTGGATGTCTGTTTGTGGATGTCTGTTTGTGGATGTGTGGATGTCTGTTTGTGGATATGTGGATGTCTGTTTGTGGATGTGTGGATGTCTGTTTGTGGATGTGTGGATGTCTGTTTGTGGATGTGTGGATGTCTGTTTGTGGATTTGTGGATGTCTGTAGATTTGTGGATGTCTGTTTGTGGATTTGTGGATGTCTGTGGATTTGTGGATGTCTGTTTGTGGATGTGTGGATGTCTGTGTGTGGATGTCTGTTTGTGGATGTGTGGATGTGTGTTTGTGGATGTCTGTTTGTGGATGTGTGGATGTCTGTTTGTGGATGTGTGGATGTCTGTTAGTGGATGTCTGTTTGTGGATGTGCGGATGTGTGGATGTCTGTTTGTGGATGTATGTATGTCTGTTTGTGGATGTGTGGATGTGGATGTGTGGATGTCTGTTTGTGGATGTGTGGATGTCTGTTTGTGGATGTGTGGATGTCTGTTTGTGGATTTGTGGATGTCTGTAGATTTGTGGATGTCTGTTTGTGGATTTGTGGATGTCTGTTTGTGGATTTGTGGATGTCTGTTTGTGGATGTGTGGATGTGGATGTGTGGATGTCTGTTTGTGGATTTGTGGATGTCTGTTTGTGGATGTGTGGATGTCTGTTTGTGGATGTGTGGATGTCTGTTTGTGGATTTGTGGATGTTTGTGGATGTTTGTGGATTTGTGGATGTCTGTTTGTGGATTTGTGGATGTCTGTTTGTGGATGTGTGGATGTCTGTGTGTGGATGTGTGGATGTCTGTTTGTGGATGTGTGGATGTCTGTTTGTGGATGTGTGGATGTCTGTGTATGTGTGGATGTCTGTGGATGTCTGTGGATGTCTGTTTGTGTATGTGTGGATGTCTGTTTGTGTATGTGTGGATGTCTGTGGATGTCTGTTTGTGTATGTGTGGATGTCTGTTTGTGGATGTGTGGGTGGATGTGTGGATGTCTGTTTGTGGATGTGTGTTTGTGGATGTGTGTTTGTGGATGTGTGTGTGTGTGGATGTGTGGATGTGTGGATGTGTGGATGTCTGTTTGTCTCAGTGTGTGTAGGAGTGTATTTATGTCTGTTAGCGTTTGTACGTGTGTATGTGAGTGTATGTGCTTCTGTTAGTGTATGCATGTGTATGTTTGCAATTGCATGTATGTGCATACGTTATTGTAAGTTTCTGTCAAATAAGTGAGAGTCTGTCATTTAGTGTGTGTGTGACTATTAGTGTGTGTCTCTCTGTCAATGAATGAGTGTGTGTCAGTGAATGTGTGTGTCAAATCAGTGACGTCTGTGTGTTTGTCATTGAATGTGTGTGTTACTTACAGTGTGTATCTGCCAGTGTGGGTGTCTGTCAGAGAGTGTGCTTAAAGGGACACTATAGGCACCCAGACTACTATAGCTCCTTGAAGTGGTCTGGGTGCAGTGTCCCAGTCCCCTTAAACCTTCTCAGAAACTGCAATAATTACCTGAGGGGTAACTCCAAGTCTAGTGGCTGTCTATCAGACAGCCACTAGAGGGACTTTCGGGTGGTTAGGTGACCAAAAGTCACCTAACTGATGCTGGACGTCCTCACCCTGTGCATGAGGACATCCAGCATCTGCTAAATACCCATAGGATTTTAACCCCTTCAGTGTCGAGTGGGGGAGGGGAGGACATGAGAGGAGGGGGGCACTATATGGAATTATAGTGCCAGGAAAACAACTTTGTTTTCCTGGCACTATAGTATTTCTTTAAAAGGAGCAGGGAAAGGTGGAGTCTAAAGAGGAAGGGGTGGGTTCTTAATCAGGAAGTGGTGCACCCTTGACATGAAGGAGTGGTAAATTTAGATTAGGGGGGTGCTCTATAGTCATGTCTAGGGCAGCATAAAATTAAAATACACCACTGTGTGTGTGTGTGTGTGTGTGTATGTATATATATATGTATGTATATATATATATATATATTACATATAAACATACATACATATATATATAAACATACATACAAGTGTTTTGGTTTTTTTTGGGGAGAGTTCCCACACTTTTTTCCCCAGGACTTGACCCCTGCTCCTATGTTTACGTCACCCTGTGTCCATTGTGGGAACAGGGTGTGTTTAATGTTTTGTGTCCTCTCCTGTCCAGGTTCTGCTTTCATCCAATTAGGTGGATTTGGCTGTGCAGCCTGTAAAGTGATATCTGTTGGTTGTAAGGGTTTTGAATGCAGCAATCTGCACTACCTGAATAGCAAGCCTGGCTAATTTGCATATTCAGGTAGATTTGCATATTATGAATTCTGCAGGAAAAGGAGATATTTTGTGTTAGTTATTGTTTCCCCCACCCCTTTATAAATATGTACTTAAGTGGAGGAAAGGAGTTAAAATACAGTAACCTTCCAGAGTGAATGGTATATCTCATGGTTACGTATGTGTGGAAGTATTGAGGCATGTTTCCAAAAGGGAATAATATGTCAGAAAGTCCTCCATATATGTGAGGAGAAGCCGACATCTGAAGGACAGTGTCTGTGCTTACTCTCACGTGAATGGAGCTTTTGTTGCAATACAAACTGGGGTATGGTACTACCATGTTAGCAACTTGTGATTAGCCTCCTGAAGGTGGATAGTTATTCTAGCATGATGGGCAAGAATAAGGGATGATCTGTTCAAATAAACAGGAAAAACAAAGGGACCCATATGATTTAGGAAGGGACTGGAGAAAATGTCTAAATTGGAAATACGAAAAGAGATCTAAGGTAGGAGGTGAAGAATCCCCTCCAAGAATCTGCAATAGAGTTAGAGCACCAACAGGGAATGGATCTGATAGTGGGGAATATGAAGACTGCGTGCTTTCATTAAAAGAGAAGCCACACCATAGAATAACTCTACTTGCGTGACGAGCAATAGCAACCGCATGGCTCTCACCAGAGGGTCCGGAGTTTCCGGGAGTGAAATCCAAGATCCGAGAATGTAGGATAATGGACGACCTGACAGCAAGGGTGAAGAGGATGACAGTAGCATTTCTAAGACTCTGGGAGCCATGGGATTATAGCATAGTGGGATCCAGCGAAGACAGGTAAGACCGAATAGGAGAAGTAAAGGTGAACTAGCAGTGGAGGTCCCCTTCTTGTGAGGGACAATGCCATCACATATTGCACAAGGAGCCCCTGATCGCCCTCCGTCCTCCTGGGTCTCCCCCCGCCCCCTGATCTTTGCTCCACGCCTCCCGAATGCTGCACCCCATCTATCTCTTTTTTCTCGAACTATCTACTCTGTTTTTCTGTTCTGATCTCTTTTTCTTACTTCCTAAGGGAAGGATACCGTTCTCAATTTTAATTTCGTTTTTATATTTTTTACATAACATTTCCTCAGGCATGCTCAAAATAATGAAGGAACAGGGAGATCTAGCGCTAATGCATAGATATTAAAATAGGACTCCTATAGTTATGTCTCAACACCTAAAAAAATATAAAACCCTCGATGGGAGACTAGCATCAAAGATGTAAAGAAGAGGTATCACAAGGTTCATCTGGAGCACATTCTGCATTCTAATGTAATACCAATGTTGGCTTCTGCGCAAGCAAAATTATTACTGTACACCTGTTACTCCTGTAGAGTAGAAAAAAAATAAAGAATTAAAAAAAATAAATAAAAGAGAAGCCACAGGAATGAGTAGGGACAGGGTGGGTGTATTGTTCAAAGAGTTATTGATCTGTCTCCAGGACTGCAGGAGAGGGGCAGAGAATTGGATGCATGGGGACAGCTGCAGGAATTCAGTTTGCCAAGCTGAAAATCAAGAGGAGAAATAAGATTACTCAGTGGAAAACCAAGGATTATGCAATGCTCCTCTAAACTGTAGCCAAATCATAGTTACATAAATAAGTCCAGCTCCAGCCTGGGTCTTATGCCGAGAGAGAATTGGATATGACAACCTTGCCCTCACACAAATATAAGAAAAAAAAAAGTGTTAACTTTAGCAAAAAAGGAAGTTGGCAGATAGAACAGAAGGGTCTGCAATAAAAAAGTAATTCATGGGGCATCGCCCGGATTTAAATGTAGACGGTCGCACAGCTCGAGAGCTCCGCCGATAATGGCAAAAAAAAAAAAAGCGTGAATCCACAAAACCGACGGGATAAATTACTACTTACCACCCAACTTCGCTCTCCCGAGGAAATGGCAAGTAAATCAACAGAAAAAACGATGCACAATCCATTTGTAATTAATTATCATAAAGAAATGCATGTTTAAATATCTTCTATGAACTTCCTGTTCTAAAGTAATTATTTACCTATAATTTAGATTGTCTCTTTACAGTAAGTCTTCTTCCCCCATCCTTTGGGTTTGGAAAATTTTCAGAAATTGAGGCCATCCCATTGACGTTTGTGCCAATTACACAGCAATCTCTGTGTAGTATAGACTCCACTATTAGTAAATAGGGTAATATAATAGGAGCTGAATACACTACGTGTCAAACTGTTCCACATGATTTCAGAGAAGAGACAGAAGGTATAACCATTCCCCACATTTTTAGAGAAGCGATCTAAAGATGAAGCTGTACCAAGTGCTTGTTCCTGTGCTGCTGTCCATCATTGCCAATGTTAATGGTCAGGTAAGATAAGCAACAACTCCAGGACCTAATTTAACAATTCAAATAATTATGAATCTGAAGAAGTTAGGATTGGGAACTTCTAAAAGAGATATGATTTTTTAATTAATGAATATACACAAAACTAGCCTTTAGGCCACAGGATTTGTAAATGTGTGATATTTAGATTGAAATGGTCACACAATTTATTTCAATGTTGATTAGTTATTTAAATATATACTTTACCTTTCCCCTTTTCCTTGCTTAGTTTGTTATGGTCATTCCAAAGCAATGGGGTACCATTTGCTCAACAGGGTTTTATAAACAAATACAAATTATAATAATGCTTGTTTTTTTAATTATATTTCAATTATTGGAAAAATGCTAAATCATTTTTTTACTACAGCTCCAAAGTCTGGGGATATGTAGGAAATATAGTCTTATGATAGCAATGACGGTGTCCACTCAGTTTGTGCCCCAAAGTAATCTGCTTCCTAAAACTATAGAATGTGCCGTTTCTATCTTCCTTACTTAGTTTGTTATAGTTAGTTGAATGCAAATATTTAACCAATGATAAAAAAAAAAAAAAAAATTACATCTGAAATTGTGTTTTTTTTTAAGGAAAAACCTAAAACTAAATTTTCTAAGTAATTATTTTAATCATTTGAGGAAATACTCTACAAGAGTATTTTATCAATCAAAAAGGATTGATGCATTTACAATGGCTTATGTTCTATGGTGATAAACATTTTTTTCTAGGTCTTAAATATTTATGGGATTTTTTTGTTCTTGGTCTTTAATCACTTTCTGCAAAACATTTTAAGTATATCATATTTTTGAGTAGTGCACACAAGGGGTCAGCTAAAAACATAGTTATTTATTATGAACAAAAAAAATGGGTTGCAAGAGTATACTGAGAACGGGCAGCAGCTGAAATAGCCTGCCCTTCGGTGGGTACCCGCTCATATCTCAAGCTGGTTTTTGCTCATCTTGTGCCATTACAGAGAGAACATATCTGAAGCATATCAGACTGGTCCCACCCATACGGGCAGTCCAGATCCGAAATGCCAGCAAGTTCTCTCTGCACGAGAGATACAGCAACCCCAGACGATCGTTTCAGCCTTGTTAGGCATCATCAGTGAGGCATAGCTGATATCTCCCTAGGCACCGTGAGCAAGGGGTCCACGTCTGGATTATCCCTTTAAACTTGTGGTTGCTGTATCTCTCTGGCTTTTTTTGCGACCCGTTTTTTGCTCTCCAATAGTTATTTATTAGTACCTGATGGTGTTTTTATTGGCGTTGCTGCAAAGTTACCCTAAAACTGCTAGTTACTAGCTGGCATAGCTATTAGTAAAGGTTTCTGACCAGTTTGTGTATCTGTAGGAAACCACAAAAATGGTTTGGTTCCAAGGGATCAAAAAAGCCATTTCTCTTGTGTAACTGTTATGTCTAGTGAGACCATGTGTGAGGTCTCACTAGGAAAGCTAAAATATTAAATTTAACCCTTAATGTGTTGATGTCTTCTTTGGCACTGATAGAGTAAATGTACATGCCCAGCATTAGATAAGAGAGTGCAAATCAACTGCTCAGCACCCTATAGTCAAGTTTAAAAAAAATATACATTTATATTATTAAAAAAATGTGGGCAGATTAAAGGCCCCTACTTCATCTTTCAACCTATTAGGATGAAGGGTACTTTTTTTAGGCCCATGCGATGCTCTGTCTCCTGGGCACTTTCTGATAATTATGGGCTTTTTTTGATGCGTAAGAAAATAGGAATTAAAAGTAAGAAAACTTCTAACAATGGGCGGTGGGTGGGGGCCTTGATATTAAAGGGGAGGATGTAATGTCCCCCTGATCCCTAACCATGAACGGTGGTGGGTGGGAGCCCTCATATTAATATTTAAAGGTGAGTACCACATGCCCCCCCAACCCCCCCTGGCTCACGGGGCAATGCCTCTACTTAATTTAATAGCATTGGGTGTGCATGATAATTAAAAGAAAGATGGTAAGTATAATTATTTTTAACAGGTATTAGATTTATAACACAAATAACAACTCTTTGCAGAGATAGTGAGTGATACTCTAAAGTGCCTAAACAGAAGAAGCAGCTCAACACAGAAAGTGGAATACCCTCATCCACAGTAAAGTACAAATATCATAGGTATTAGATTTAACCCACTGTTATTAAGGTGAGGGAGTCAGTAGGTTTCTTCATTTTTACTGGGTGGTGGCTAGGGTATTAGGGACCCCTAGCCAGCAGGGGAGAGCAAGGATGGAACATGCCACTATTTGGGGTGATTACAATGCCATATTCACCCCCAATTTTTTATTTTTTTTTATTAAACACTGGGTTTTCTTTCTTGAATATTATAAATGGGGTCCCAATGCATGTGCAATGGGTAGGGCCATATGGGACACTAGGTTTCCCCCTTATATTATAATAGTCCCCACCCACTGACCACATGCAAGGACATAAGTATGTTCCCCCTTGTATTTTAATAAATACACCCTGACTGATGTACACGGTTGGGGTGCAGGGGGATTATATAAAAACCCCTTACTTTAATAGTAAACGCATTAGCTCTTTTGGCTTCTGTAACGGAACTTCCCGTACACCGAACGAGTACCTTTCCGTTGATGGATGCTTCCTAGCTTGCCCCGAGGACCACCAGCACCGCGCCGGACACCACAGACTCCGCAACCGCTGTAACTTAAATGGAGTCTCGCCGTCTTCTGTCCACCCTGGATCAGCTTCTGTCCTCCAGGACCATGTGGAGAAAACCTCTCCTCCAGGAGAGCGTATGAGGAACAGGCTCTTAAAAGAGCTAAGTGATTAAAGTATCCCCAGTATGAGTATTGCTGTCCCCTCCAATCACGAGACAAGACTACGTTCTTCCAAGAACACGTGGCGAGGTCTGTTACGCCACAGCTTCCAGTATAATTTCTATGCAGATGACACGCAAATCTACCTGTCCTCTCCTGATCTCTCCCTGTCCCACTTGACTAGTGTCTGACTGCCTCTCTGCTATTTCTAACTGGATGGCTGCCCACTTCCTTAAACTAAACTTGACCAAAACTGAAATTCTGGTCTTTCCTCCCTCAAGTGTTGTTACTCCTGTGTCGGTCTCCCTCAAAGTCAATAGTGCTACCATCAGCTCCACTACGCAGGCTTGCTGCCTAGGTGTTCTCTTTGACTCCGACCTCTCCTTCAAGCCTCATGTTCAATTTATCGCCAAATCCTGTCATTTCCATCTCAAAAACTTTGCACGCATCTGCCCCTACTTAACAACAGATGCGACTAAGGTGTTGGTCCATTCCACTGTCCTTTCTCGCCTTGACTACTGTAATCCGCTTCTCAGTGGTCTTACATGCTCCCAACTTGCGCCGTTACAGTCCATAATGAATGCGGCAGGGAGGCTCATCTTCCTGTCCGCCCGCACCTCCCATGCCTAACCCTTCTGTCAGCCCCTATATTGGCTTCCTATAAAATATAGAGCTCAATTTAAAATTCTGGTTCTTGCTTTCAAATCGCTACATAATGCTGCTCCCACCTATTTATCCTCCCTTATACACAAGTACGATCTGCTGAAGACTTACGTCTATCTTCTGTCGGTACTCCCACCTCTGATGCTCGCCTTCAAGATTTCTCCAGGGTTGCACCATTCCTGTGGAACTCGCTTCCCTCCTCCGTTAGATGCTCACCCAGTCGCCACTCCTTCAAAATCGTTAAAAACCCACTTCTTCATAAAAGCGTATCAATTAAACTGTTAATAGCTCCTGACTGATTCCTCTTCTGCAACTATCACTAGTCTAATACTATCCTTACCTTTTTGTGTCATTTTACCCCACTCCCTCTAGCATGTAAGCTCATTGAGCAGGGCCCTCAACCCCTCTGTCCCCGTGTGTCCAACTTATCTGGTTACAATTACATGTCTGTTCGTCCACCCATTTGTAAAGTGCTGCGGAATTTGATGGCGCTATATAAATAATAACATTATAATAATAAGTCCCACAGGATGTAGCCATCTTTTAGTGTCTGGGCAGTATTGGCTACCAAGGTCCTATGTTACTCATGGCAGTTCGGCACATAGGGAGGGATTAAACCTTACTTATTGTGATGTAATTATCCCTCTCGCCACTGAATTTTTTTAAAACTGTTTCCAGTAGCACTAGCACAGTGGGCAAATAGTTCAGATGTTTTTTAAAATCTGAGCCAAGATTTGAATCCTTTTGGCCTGTATCTGACGCATTAGGTTTAGATTTGAATCCTCCGGTGGCATTTGGCCCGAATGAAATCCAGACCAAATTCAGGTCTGTCTGTATTACAAAATCTTGATATTATTTAATACTGTGAGCAATGACTGGATTTGGACTTTAGTGAATAGCCATAATAGGGTACATTTTACCTCCCATTAGGAAATGGCCTGTACACTCAATAATATCTATTTGTTTTACTCCCTTTGCAGTGTGAACTCCCTGGAACCTGGAAGGATGACAAAGGCTCTACCATGAATATCCATACTGTAAGCCATTATCGAGTGATAACGGGGGATTATCAAGCAGCTGCTTCTTTACTAAATCCAAACCCTCCTAAATTACCTTTCACAGGATACAGCAGTGGTAACACTTTTATGGGTGTCATGGACCTTGGAAAAGATGGTAATTAAACGATTATTTTTGAGAATAAAAGCCAATGTTGGTTGGGGCTTCATGGACTTCCAGTTGAAACTTAGACTTAGACTGTGTAAAAAATTTAAATTTGTGTTTCTGTTCTCATGCTCCTGACCTTCATCTGCAAATATACTTTGCAGCTAAAAGTGTTTTTTTTTACTGCTTGTGAAAAATACAAAGCCGTCTAGTAACTAGGTAATGCCATGCAGTTTCTATGCTATACAACAGAAGCCATTTCTTTTGGCATCATGGCAGGAATATCCCAGTTAGTAAATATAATTTATTGGCTCTAATATATAAAACTGAATGTTAGCTCTCTGTCTAAAGGACAGACCTGCCTAGCTGATTATCAGTATCTGTCAGCTTCTGGTCTCCCCATTAGTCACTCTGTGCATTGTGTTCATTATATTCCCATTCTGCATGATACACATTGTTTGTTATAGCTAATTGTGTGATGGCGAATGATAACATGATCTGTGATATTGCTTTGAGCATAGCCCCCCTGAATGTACTGAAGTATTGACGTATAAAGTGCTACAACTGGATAGCCTATTTACAGGTTGTCCAATTGACTGCTCTTAGATTTTGTACAACCAAGTTCCAAATATTTAGCAGACGCTTTATGTGAAAAAGAAATTAATATTAAAGAACAAATGTGCCTTCTGATTTTAGTAGGTTTAGCAGTATACCACTCTCGTTTAAGCTAAATATCTATCACAAATGAGTGTGGAGTCGTATTAAAATAATCATATTCACTTCTACAACTAGATGTAAGATTTGAATTCTAACACTGTAAAACAACACATTTATAAATAAACCAGATACAAATCATTAAGTGCCGTTTTCATGGCATATCCGTGGCACGTTTCTAGAGAGGTATGTGGTTAAAATCACAAAGTAGGTTTTGTGGTAATCAGACTCTGCCTGGCATTATACGGTGATTCATTGGCTCTGATCACCTAGCATTTTTTATATTTTTTCAACAGAATGGGAGATAATGGACTGGCACTCATATTTATATACCGTAGTCTAACAGACCCCAGCACAAATTATTATAACGTGTTTATTTTCTCTATCAGAACCAGACCAAACAGCCGATGTTACTATCCGGGCAAGCCGCTATAAGCAAACAATCACTTTATAAAGCACTGCTCGGTGTAAAATTGCTTCACTGATAACATTGTTCTTACTGCAGGTTCTTCATTCATGGAGGGCTACTGTGACCAAGAAAATGAATCACAAACGGGTCACAACTCTGTAAAAGTTTGGTTATTTTGGCTCAGAATTGGAGAAAGGTATCTGTAAACGTAAAATATTTAAACAACATTAAAGGACATTGTCTTAAAGCACTAAATTATCAAGACGTATATATATTTTGTTATAGAGTGGAGGATTATAGGTGTGGTACTAGATGAGAAAACTAATAAAACAATACATTAGCTACTTTGTTATATGTTTTCTCTGCATCACTCAGAAGTATTACGTTACATTATTCTTTTCTATACTGTTTGTTTTGAAACCTTAAAAGGACGCTATACTCACAAGATAAACTAAAGCTTATTGTGGTTGTTATGGTGTCTATAGTCATTCCCTATAGGTTTTATGTTGTAAACACTGTCTTTTCAGGGAAAAGGCAGTGTTTACATTGATCCCTAGGGACACCTCATTTTGAATAAAGGTTATTGATAGATTTTTATAGACATAAAGCACATTTTATCTTTGAGTAAGTGAATCACACTTTAGAATGAATACCTCACCTACCTTACTTAAAAATAGATGCTTGCCTGGTTTTTTTTTTTTTTTAATTAAGCTCTCTCCAAAAAAGGGGTATTGCAATCCTGTCAGCTACTCACGTTGCCATCACTTATAAAGCCCACCTTGAGGATCCTGGATATCACTACCTCCTGTTAAAGATTTCAGTTTGTTCACATACACTCATGTTTGTCAATATATACAGGTTATACTCAAATTAGAATATCGTGCAAAAATTCATTTATTTCAGTAATGCAACGTAAAAGGGGAAACGAATATATGAGATAGACGCATTACATGCAAAGGAAGATAGTTCAAGCCTTGATTTGTCATAAGTGCGATGATTATGGCTTACAGATCGTGAAAACCCCAAATCCACAATCTCAGTAAATTAGAATATTACATGCAATCAATAAAACAAGGAGTGTACATAGAGCAATATCGGACCTCTGGAAAGTATAAGCATACATATGGACTCAGTACTTGGTTTGGGCCCCTTTTGCCGCAATTACTGCCTCAATGCGGCGTGGCATGGAAGCTATCAGCCTGTGGCACTGCTGAGGTGTTATGGAAGACCAGGATGCTTCAATAGCAGCCTACAGCTCTTCTGCATTGTTCGGTCTCATGTCTCATCTTTCTCTTGGCAATGCACCATTGAACCAGGATCTGTTGCTTTTGGCAGTGTGGGCAGGTGCCAAATCCTGCTGGAAAATGAAGTCAGCATCCCCATAAAGCTTGTCTGCGGAAGGAAGCATGAAGTGCTCCAAAATCTCCTGGTAGATGGCTGCGTTGACCCTGGACTTAATGAAGCACAGTGGACCAACACCAGCAAATGACATGGCTCCCCATATTAGCACAGACTGTGGAAAATTCACACTGGACTTCAAGCATCTTGCAGTGTGTGCCTCTCCATTCTTCCTCCAGACTCTGGGTCCTTGGTTTCCAAATGAGATGCAAAGATTGCTCTCATCAGAAAAGAGGACTTTGGACCACTGAGCAACAGATCGGTCTGTTTTTCTTTAGCCCAGGTAAGACGCTTCTGACGATGTTTGTTGTTCAGGAGCGGCTTGACAAGAGGAATACGACATCTGAAGCCCATGTCCAGGGTCCTTCTGTGTATGGTGGCTCTTGATGCACTGACTTCAGCCTCAGTCCACTCCTTGTGAAAGTCCCCAAAACAGTTGAATGGCCTTTTCCTGACAATCCTCTCGAGGCTGCGGTCATCCCTGCTGCTTGTGCACCTTTTTCTTCCACACTTTTCCCTTCTATTTAAATTTCTATCAATGTGCTTTGATACAGCACTTTGTGAACATCCAACTTCCTTTGCAATTACCTTTTGAGGCTTTCACTCCTTATGAAGGGTGTCAGTAATGGTTTTCTTCACAACTGTCAGGTCAGCAGTCTTCCCCATGATTGTGATTCCTACTGAACCAGACTGAGAGACCATTTAAAGGCTCAGAAACCCTTTGCAGGTGTTATGGCTTACTTAGCTGGTTAGAGCGTGACACTGTGAGCCTAGAATATTGCACCTTTTCACAATATTCTAATTTACTGAGATTGTGGATTTGGGGTTTTCATGAGCTGTAAGCCATAATCATCACACTTATGACAAATCACGGCTTGAACTATCTTGCTTTGCATGTAATGCGTCTATCTCATATATTAGTTTCCCCTTTTACGTTGCATTACTGAAATAAATGAACTTTTGCACGATATTCAAAATTTTTGAGTATCACCTATATTTACCCAATAGACACCACCCTAACAAAAATTCTACGTCTGATTGGGATTTTTGGGGAGAGAACTATAATTGGTGGGTGATTTTACTATTTCTTTTGATTTCAACTTCCTTCCAGATGAAGAATCTTAGCCCTATCTGTAAACAGCTCTTATCACATCAACTTGTAGATTGCTATGTGGCTCATAATCCCATCACAAAGAACTTCACTTTTGCTTTAAAGATGTATTCAAAAAGTAACATGATTTTCATATCTCATCCTTGTTTGCAATTTTGGGCAGCTAAAATCCAATGCAATATTTGGTCTTACCATACCCCAGGATCCTTTTCCAGCCCAGTCCTCAGGATCAGGGCCGTCTTTAATAATGGTTGGGCCCGGGGCAAGCATTTGATAGGGCCCCCTGACCCTAACTCCCTGGCATGCAATCACGATCTCCACTTCCCAACGCAGTAACGGAACCATTTTCCCATGCTTGCAGAGTTGTATTTAGCACTGAGTTGTGTTTGTGTGTTTGAATGGAAGCATGTTTTTGTATGGAGTGTGTTTGTGTAAATGTAGGGGTGTGTTTGTAGGTGGTGTTGGTGTTTGAATGCAAGCATGCATCTGTGTATTTATTTATTTATTTTAATGCTGGGTGTGTTTATATATATTTTTGGTGTTTAACACAAAGATGTTTTTGTATGTATTGTTGACATTTCAATGCAGGACTGTGTTTGTATGTAGTGTTGAAGGTTGAATGCAGGGGTGTACTTGTGTGTAGTGTTGGCGATTTGAATGATGAGATGTACGTACATGTACACATACACTGCCACACACACACACTGTGATACACAGATACACACTGAAACACATGCAGATACACAGATATAAATACTGACACACACACATGCAAAGTTTACATTTATAAAGCCACCCTCCAGCCCTACCTTATGGGTTCCCTGGGGTCCAGCGGCAGGCTGAGGTCGTTGGGAGTGTGAGGCTCCTGCATTCCAGCTCCCTCCTGACGGCCTCCTACTCCATCCCGCGCGGCTTCATTCTATCTGGGAGGAAGTGACTCACGGCAGTCACTTCCTCCCAGCCTGCTGCAGTAAAACAAGGGGGCCAAAGTGCCCGACCGGGGCCTCTTAGTGTGGGGGCTCCCGGTGCAGTCGCAGCACCGGCAGGCCAAGGGGGCAAATAAATTTATTTATTTTTTGCGGACAGCGGGGCCCACGGGGTAGCTGCTTTGGGCCACCCCAGGAGTAAGTGGGCCCGGGGCAGCTGCCACGTTTGCCCCGCTTTAAAGACGGCCGTGCTCTGGATGCATTTTACTGTACCCCCCCTTAAAATAAAAAAATGCATCTTCACCTGTGTATCTCATAACCCCCTTTAGTGTATTTTATCCCATTTTGTATCTCTTACTTACCCCAGCCTCTTTGTTTGTCTCTTTCTTTTTTCAAACCATACAGACACACACAGAGACATACAGACATACAGCTAAAGAGTGAGATGGGTGGATATGAGGCTGGTTTAAAACTAGGGTTGCAGAATGCTTAATAAACTTACAGATTTCAATGTCTATTCAGAATACCGGTGTTTAATGCCACACATATAGTCTTATCATTACTATTGTAATGTAATCACAAAACTCGCAAAATCATTATTTTGTTTGTCGATAACCCCACAATCTCAGTTGATAAAAGTATCTAAATTCAGTGGCATACCCAGTGCAAAACAGAAAGATATTCATGGATTTAGATTATGTCAAAAAGCAACAAAATACTAATTCCAGAAACTATCAAATGAAAACTAGCACGGGATTGTAATTGATGTCTTTATCTCTTATTATTTGCACTTTTTTTCCCCATATCACTTTTTCGTGTTTTGTAAACATTATGCTTTCTTTGTCTGCTTTGTTTTTTTAGTGTGAAAATTAAATTCGTTAAGGAGTGATGCAGAAAAGGACAGCAGGGAATTCACTTATTCATTAAAGTTAATTCTTTGTTAAACTCAAATTTTGTCTGGTCTATTATTAGCAATCACAGATTATTTAAGACTTCGTTCATTGTAGCCACTGATTTACCTACAATAGAATTGAGCAGACACCTGGATGTTCAGGTTCGGCAGGTTCGGCTGAACTTCGGAAAAAGTCTGGGTTCGGGATCGAACTTGACCCCGACCCGAACCCCATTGAAGTCAATGGGGACCCGAACTTTTGGGCACAAAAATGGATCTAAAAAAGTCCTAGAAAGGGCTAGAGGGTTGCAAAAGGAAGTAAAATGGGGGTAAGAGTAGGACAAGTGCCCTGCAAACAAATGTGGATAGGGAAATCCCTTACAATAACATAAAAATTTAAAATAATCCGATCCTATTCATTGCCGCGGCTGCATCTTGCAGCCGCTTAGTAGATAGCTCCCTGATACCGTGGGAATTAGGGAGCTATCTACCAAAAGGCTGAAAGACCTAAATTGGTCTTTCAGTCAAATTTACTAATACTAAGTAAAGATTACTTAGTATTAGTAAATTCAGCCCCTACTCGCTATACCGTGAGTAGGAGCATGGCTGCTCACTGTAAAAAAAAAAAAAAAAATTAAAAAAAAAACCTATTGCCCCCACCCCTGTGCGACGGGTGGGGGCCCTAAATAAGAATGTGGAGGGGGGGGATCTACTGTTC